TTCCAGCCTTCTGGTTAGCAGGCAAATGTCTTGGGCACTATGCTACCAGAACTCCCATTGAATGATGCAGGAAACAGCAAAAGAAGATGGAAGGAATACACAGTCACTGAAACAAAAAGAGTTGGTTAATGTTCATCCATTTTGGAAGCTAGCATATGATCAAGAACCAAAGGTATTGAAGGAAGAAGTCAAAGCTGCACTGAAGCAATTGGCAAAGAACAAGTTTCTAGGAATTGATGGAATACCCATTGAGATGTTTCAACAAAGAGTCCTAGAGGCACTCACTCGTCTATGCCAAGAAATTTGGAAGATAGCTACCTAGCCAACTGACTGGAAGAGATCCACATTTGTATCCATTCCAAAGAAAAGTGATCCCACAGAATGTGAAAATTATCAAATCATTAATATCACATGCAAGTAAAATCTAACTGAAGAAAATTCAAAAACAGTTACAGCAGTATATTGACAGAGAACTTCCAGAAATGCAAGCTGGATTCAGAAGAGGACATGGAATGAGGGATATCAATGCTGATGTCAGATGGATCTTGGCTCAAAGCAAAGAATACTAGAAGTATGTTTGCTTGTGTTTTATTGACTATACAAAAACATTCAATTGTGTGGCTCATAACAAATTATGGATAACATTGAGAAGAATGGGAATTCCAGAACACTTAATTTTGCTAATGAGGAACCTGTCCAAAGATTAGGAAGCTGTTGTTCAAACAGAACAAAGGGATACTGGATGGTTTCAAATCAGAAAGGGAATCCATCAGGGTTGTATCCTTTCACCATACTTATTCAATCTTTATGCTGAGCAAATAAATCGAAGAAGCTAGACTATATGAAGAAGAATGTGGCCTCAGGATTAGAGGAAGACTCATTAACAACCTGTGATATGCAGACTAAACAACTTTGCTTGCTAAAAAGTGAAGATGACTTGAAGCACTTACTGATGAAGATTAAAGACACCAGTTTGCTGTATAGATCAAATCTCAACATAAAGAAAATGAAAATCCTCACAACTGGACCAATAAGCAGCATCACAATAAATGGAGGAAAGACTGAAGTAAAAAATTTCATATTACTTGGTTCCACAATCAACACCAGTGGAAGCAGCAGTCAAGAAATCAGACAATGCATTGCACTTGGCAAATCTGCTGCAAAAGACCTCTTTAAAAAATGTGGAACAAAATTCACAAATACAAAAGTGGAGAGTTCTGGTAACATGGCAGAATATGCAGACAAGCTACACAGACCATCTTCAACAAAGAAAAGAGAAACCAATTAACACAGATACAGAAGACAATCTTGGAGCCCTGAGCTTTGAAAGGAACTATACAGAAGTGGATTTAGCATCAACTAGTGGGAAAACCTGAAAGAAAACAGTGAGTACAGAGATGGACGGAGCTGTGGACCGTCAGCTACTCTGACAGCACCAACATCTTAAATGTTTCCAAATGGTGTTGGGACCTGGTAATTGACCTGGCGATCAGCCTTAGTTGCCAAGGGCTGTGGGGACAACTGCACTGGTAGCCAGCCGATGACTACAAAGGAAGCAGCAACTTGAGCTGTATAGTTTCGGCTGTCAAAAGGGGGTGGCCATTTTGGATATTTAAATGACTGAGGGCACAACTATTTTGAATTCTTACAAGCAGGAGCCATTTTGGATATTTAAAGTGACAGCATTCTCATTCAGATTCCAGGGACCTAAGAATAGGCTCCATTTGTCAAGGATCTCAGGGACATATGGGAGCCTGACAACAGGATAGAAGACAGGGAGTGAGTGCGTAAGTGCTGCCAAATAGCAAATAGAGGAGCACAGTACCCTGCTTACATAGATAACACCCAAACAAAACAAAGAAAATGAAAATCTTGTGCAAGTCACTCCAAAATACAATCATCAATTAAATATAAACACAAAAAGTCAAAATGTCTCAGAGACAAAAGAGCATCACAGTCCACACAAAGAAGCAAGACAAAGCAGAAGAAATAAAGAACCAGATACAGACCCTGAGGAAGAAGCAGCGTTGGAACTCCCTGATAAAGAATTCAAATGAATTATATTCAGGTGCTTTTAACTGATTGAGAGACAGATCAAGGAAAACACTGACATAATTAAGGAAAACATAGGCAAAACCCTTGAACAATTTAAAAAGACAATACAAGAACAAAATGACAACATAAATGAAAAATTAGAAATGATACAAAATTTACAGGTAGAAATCTATAATATTAATACTACATTTTCAGAAATAAATAATACATTGAACAGGCAAAGGAGTAGAATTGGATCAATAGAACACAGAATTAGTGAGATTGAAGACAAATACCTCAACACTTCTTTGGAAAGGGATCAAACAGAAAAAAAGACCAAACAAAATGAAGAAAGACTAAGGTTCATGTGGGATACCATCGAAAGGAACAACCTACATGTAATTGGAATTCCAGAACAGGAAGAGACAAAATCACAGAGAAAATTGTTGAAGATTTGTTGGAAGAGAATTTTCCTGGTATGATGAAAGATGAGACTATATCCATTCAAGAAGTCCAATGAATCCCAAGCAGGATAGACCCCAAAAGAAATCACCAGGATATATCATCATCAAACTTACCAAAACCAGAGACAGAGAAAGAATCCTAAAAGCAGCATGGGAAAAACAAAAAGTTATCCACAAGGGGCAACCAATAAGACTAAGCTCAGATTTCTTGGCAGAAACCATGCAGACAAGGAGGCAATGAGATGGTATATACAAAACCCTGAAAGAAAAAAAATTCCAACTAAGAATTATACACCCAGAAAAACTTTCCCTGAAATATGATGGTTGAAACTAGGACATTTCCAGATAAACAGAAATTAAGGGAATTTGTTAAAACCAGACCAACCTTACAAGAGATGCTAAAGGGAGTCCTTTGGACAGAGAACCAACAACAAACAAAAATTGACCATTAACACACATGATGACATAACCCAGAAACCAACCCAGTTATGCAAGTATCCGAAGTAAACAAGCCTACAAGATAGTAAACATGGAACCAGAGACATTGATTTACAAATGAGACCAACTAAAACCAAATAGAGGGGAAAAAATGTACAGAACTTATAAATGGAAGGGAAGTCAAGACAACTGCAAGATAGAATGGTCTGTTCTAAACTTGGGGAGAAAACTAAAAATCACAGGTTAACCTCAAAGAAAATGATAAACCTTCACATTAAAATAAAAAAGAGGGCCAATATAAATATTTAGCAAATACTAAAACAATAGCAATGAAGGAAATGATAACACAATCCATAAACAAAATGAGCTAAGCACAGAAAATTATATGGAACAAAGAAATAAGCAACACCACAGAAAAGTACGGGAGCTCTGGTAGCATAGTGGCTAAGGCACTTGACTGCTCACCAGATGGCTGGCGGTTCAA